GTGTACTGTAAATACAGTACATACTTGTATATATTTTAATATGATTTTATGTGCTTTAAACGTTTATCTAGTGATATTACGACTTCAATATTTGTGGCGGACAGACGTAAAGTCGAATAAAATGACTTAAACTTGATTTTTATTTTTCCATATACTTTTTTAACAAGCGACGTATAATCGGGAACGACGTAACTCGAAACCGACGTAAGTCGAGGTATGCCTGTACTTGTATACTTAAAGGATGTTTTTAAAATAGAAATTATTTCAAAAAAATAATATATTTTTTTTTCTTTTATAGTTTTTAAAGTTTATAGTAGTAGGATTAACGAAATAGATTTAGATAAGAATTGATTGATTGTCTGTACTTAATCCTAACATGATAAACATTTAGGATAATGCTTATCAAATAATCAGAATTAGGCATTAATGTTGTTTAAAACTTATAAAATAATCTTGAAGTCTAATTATCACTGACTTATCATGTAAATAATTTTAAATACAGATTATACAATAAAAAGTGTAAATGTAAAATAATTGTAGATTATGCTGCTAACTTATTCTTTATATTTAATAATTTATTTATAATATAATTTTTATATTCTGTTTTAGCTCGGAATTCCGGAACAGGAGGTAAAGGTTCATTGGTTATCATTTTCTCCAGTCGAAGACCATTTCTACTTTAGACAACACCAAGAATGTTCGCAGGAAGCAATGAGAAAAATTAACAAATTTCGTAACTTAGATATTAAATTATCTTCGCTGGACAGGCATTCATCGATGCAGGTAATTTGTTCGAATGTATACATGCATGAAACATGAGATTTTTGGCATATCATTTTAAACAATTAATTACATTTTGACTTTTCTTAACTCTTTCTATCCTACAGGCACTAAGAAGGTCTTTTTTTTTAAATTTCCATTACAGATTCAATTAGATTTGCATTAGGGGTAACTAGATGGTAAAGGATAGAATCCAACATCTTTTGATCAACCCACCTCTAAAAATTTAGATTTTGAATAGCAGGCTGATACCTTTACTGCTTTGGCCATCAATTAATTATAAATTAGAAATATACATTTATTTATATAATGAATAGCGCTTTGTGAATTATAATACTTTGTTAAGAAAAGTTTCTTTATACAATAAATTTTACTGTGAGTTATATCAGATTTTTAATTGGTAAAATTGACAATTTTAGACATTTAAGTTATCTAGAATTGTCAATTTTTAATTTTAAATTGTAAAATTACAATTTAACCATATGTCTAGAGGCAAAGATTAACTCAGATACTTAAATAACATAACTGGTGAAATACCTGTTTGATTTGTGAGAGTTAATCTTTACTTATAGATATTTATAATGAATTATTGAAATTAATTTGAGATGGCAGCCTTAGTCTAAATTACTGTATTTAATACAAATATAAACATCTATAAACTTGACTGTTAGATTAAAGCCAAACAATTGCTGGATTATATTGGGCTATATTAATTCTACTGTTAATAATTAAATGTTAAGTATTGAGTAATTGTAATTTCAATAATTGATTTTAAAATATATGAGAGTTATAGCCCATAGAACTTCAAAGGTAATTTTATCATTGAAGTTCAATTGGCTATAACTCCTAAGCTTAAGTATTTAGCAAATGATTTTTAAGTTTGGTGTATTATTTATACATGATTAAATTGTCTCATGAAATTATTAAGATAACATAGGTAAAATTCAGCATTAAAATATATATATATATATATATATATATATATAAAGATACAAATATTTCATTTGTTCTTCAGTTTTTATTAAAATAATTAATGTTGGAGAGCTATAGCCTTCACCGAAGTAATAATTTTGAATAGAAAAGCTTGTTAGTTTAATTTTCATTAATTCTTTCATGATGATTACATTTTNCTTATTTAAACACGAAAATTACATTACAGACTACATCATTGTGACAAAATTTACTATGATGTACTATTAAAACATTATCATTTAGCATGTTGAAAATTATACTGATAGTGCAAATGATCTTCAGATGTTACACATTAAAATGAAATGAAATTTATTATTAAACAAAGTACCTTTTAAAATTCTATTGCTTAACATCATTTTGTCGTAAGCCATTAAGCTAACTGCAAAATGCCCTTATACAAATCCCAAATGAAGGTCTTGCTAGAGTCTTTGAACATCTGATTTTTACTTTTGGGAAATTTCAATAAATGAAAAATGACTTTCATTTAAGGACATTTGCAGTTGATTATAAGGCTCTGGAAGAAAGCACAATTCTTACCTTGGTGTTTTTTTATTATTATTTTTTTTTTTACTGATTCTATAATGTTATGGATTTATAGTATACAGGTATACCTCGCCTTACGTCGGTAATTGGTTCCAGGAAAACGACGTAAGTCGAAAAACGACGTAAGTCGAATTTACCTGTCTCCGAATCTACTTATCACTAGGAAAGCATTTTAAATAATATATGGTTAATAAAAATCTATTTTAAGNTCACCGAAGTAATAATTTTGAATAGAAAAGCTTGTTAGTTTAATTTTCATTAATTCTTTCATGATGATTACATTTTAAATTCTATAAATAGGTTTATTAACATAAGTTTTCAACATAAATTAATTCCTGTTTGATTTTTAAGTATTGCATTTCTAACAGTTATAATAATTTTCAGTTGTTATACCCTCTTCGAAGATTAAGACAGGCTTGCTGCCATCCGCAGGCAGTGCGAGGAGAATTTCTTCCAATCCAGAAAAGGTAAAACTCATTTAAACTTAAATAATTTCAATACATTGATAATTACATTAGAGACTCATTGTTTGTGCACATGACACTTTGCAACATTATGCTTTGATGTATTTATAAAAATCAGTTATTTTATTATTTTATCAGTTTTATTTTGCCTTTTTTCTATTTTTTCTTGCGTGTATTTATTACATTTATCCATTAAAATATCTCTATAAATTGTATAAATGATTACTATTAACCTATCTAATGAGTTTTAAACTGCTCCATCTTAAGTAATGGTTTTTTTAATTAATTTTATTACAGAAAATGGATTGTCATTTACTGAGAATAACGTTGTACATTGATTTTGAATAAGTTAAAACGTTGAAACACTGATAAGCATACTTACATAAATACTGTGTTTTAATTACCTTTAAAAAAAGAATTCTGTAAATATATAAATTTTTTAGTAACATCATTTTTTAACGACAAACTTGTTTCCCAATACATTATGAATTTTGACAGTATGCTTTGATTATCTAGAAATTTTACATCTCCACTGGCAAAATGATCATCCCTTTTTGACTTTCCTACATGAATGACTTGCTAGTAACAGTTTTCTTCAAACACACTTTCAAATTATAGCAAGAGAGTAATTTATTTGTAAACAAGACAGTTTTTATTCTACCAATCTTAAACTGTACACTTTTCAAAACAAAAGGGCTACTTCTGCCCACCAAATTTTTAGTATTATGTACAAGTGTGCATAATAATTAGTTAAAAAAAAATGATGGATGTGCAGTTTAAAACTTGCACAATCTATAAAGATATTTAAATGGAGAAATGTGAAAAATACATGTGAGGAAAAAATAGAAAAAAAGAAAATTGTAATGATCCTTGAAACTGCAACCTTCCATACATTGAAATGTATAAACAACAAACTAGACAACTTGGCAATCACTGCTTCTTATTAGAGTTTACATTAGTCATGACATTTAAAAAAGTAAAATTTTTTAAAACAAAGAATTTTGTATAAAAAAGATCTTCAGTACATTTAACAGGAAAGGTGATTGCTATAAAATGACACAATGCCTCTTTTTTAGTGAAATGTATAATTTCCAACCTTTCCTTGTATATGATGACCACATTCTGACCAAGCCTGCCTTTGTAAATAAGCATGTCTAAAAAGTGTTAGATAACAGTCATATAATTAAGTTTAACCAAAACCAAAATAATTTGATCTTATTATACAAACTGATTTAAATCATAGCATAAATAGTTTTTAATATTTAAGAAAATAGAAGAAACTATAAATGTCTTCAATACATTTTTTCACACATCTTGGGAACACAACTGTTTTTTCCAGTGAAGTCAATCTTTTATTTGAGGTTAATCATCCCCTGTAATATGTAAAAAAAAAAATCATTTTTAAAATTTCCAGGGTAGTGGGACAATTATAAAATAGCAAAAATATATTAATTAACACATTGTGCAGGACAAAATTAATATTAAAAAAATAGTAGAAACTAAAACTATAAACACCTTCATTACTTCCTTTTACACACCTCAGGAACACAACTGTTTTTTTCATTAAAGTTGACCTTTCATTTGAGGCTACTCATTTGCGATTATAGTTTAATCTATTTTTTTTTTTTAAATGAAGGAAGTGGCATTTCAGTTTTCTTTAATAAATTCTTTTAAACTGGTTTATATTCAGAAGCGAATACAATTTTTTTCTGAGAAATCCTTTTTTAAGGTCCCAGCATATCTTAAATTCAGAGTAATGTAGTATTAATGGTATGTAAATTCAGTTTTATGCATGCAAGTACTTTTATCATTATTAAAAAAGTAAAAATACTTGGATATTTGACTACTTTACACTAATATGAAGACCAGAATTTTGCTTATATTTCAACACACTTTATAAAGTAAATAATAAGTACAAAATTTTCTGATAAATACTTGTAAATTTTTGCAGAATTTTATCAGATTTTGTAATTAATTAATTATTTATAAAAATTAGATTACATGCCACAGAGCAAAGATATTTTATAATAATTATCATTATTATTAATAGTACACTAACCATGGAAGAAATTCTGACTTCGTTAATAAAGAAAGTGAAGATTGAATGTGAAGAAGCTCATAGACAATCAATAGCAGCATTAAATGGTAAAATAGTCTTGTATGGTAACTAATATCAAACTTAAACTGTATATAAATGTAGAGACAAAGTATTAACTATTAAAATATTTTCCAGGTTTGGCTGGTATTCACATAATAAGAGAAGAATATGTCGAAGCAGTAGAAAAATATCGAGAAGTGCTGAAGTCCGTCGAAGATCACTCGACTCATATTAAAACCGATAAGCTTCAGCAATTGCATACACTTCATAATTTGGCTGAAATACTAGAAGGACGAAAATCCGATCAAACTATACAAAACGCCACGGAAGTTGAAGAAAAAGAAAAGACTTCTCACGACATAAACAAACAATTTGAATTTAGCAACAGAAATGACAAGTTGCAAAATCAAGATTTTGAGAATAATTTAAATATAGAAAATTATAGTAATGGTTCAACTGAATCATCTGTAAATAAACCTAAATTTAATCCTCCTCCCGGGGTCGGCCGGACTTTAAACGATGATAATCTTTTACAGCAGGCATCAAAATTACGCTCTTTGTATTTAAGTAAATGTTTGTCTCAAGTTACCACTGCTCAAGAACAGTTAACCCAGGCTACTTCTAATGCAAAAGAAATTCGTTCTCAATTTGTATGTCAGAAGGAACCTTGGTGGGATCAAGCTATTAGACATAGTGTAATGCTTAACGAAGATGATTTGTTAGTACAGAAAGTGAAAGATGATCTTCTTGAAAACAGGACTGCTGGAATGTTATCTGCAGTTCATAAGTAAGTGTTTAATTTACTTTATAAAGACATCCTTAATGTAAAGATTAGTTTGAATCCAGCACTACTTTCTATATCTTTACTTGATTTAAGAAATTCTTACCCAAATTTATTTATCCATTTATTTTTCTTATTATTTAAGTGGCTGTCAAGATCTCAAATGGCAGTTTTTTGTTTTCAATAGCATATAATTATGTATTTTTCTTTTCAAACATTAAATAAATCTACATATCCTTTATTTCAGATTTTCTGTATATTCTTTTAAAAAAGTCATATTTAAGAATTCTTAAATGCTTAGATACGACTATAATTTCACCTCTTAGAATTATCCGGATATTAATTACATATAAACACTAACTTATTAATATATTTTAATAGATTTCATAATGTGCATGGAATGCAATATATCATAGCAACTATGTTAGATGATCTGCAGAATTCTTATCAGAAACTCTCATCTGCGGTCAGGAAACTCTCGGCAACGCCTTCGTCAACAGATCTTAACACTGCCGTTGACTGTCATTTACGTCCCGTAGGAAAAAATAAAGTAAAGTATGTCAACATTTTAATACAGTTTTAAGGTACATTTTAATAATTAATTTTTTTTTTAGTCTTTTTGAATAGCTCAGGAAGAGCATCTAATGTATTATTAAATTATATCATGTTATATTTTTATCGTTTTTAATAAATAGATTTTTCACAGATTATTATAACAATTAAATTTTTGTTGTCTAGGTAGAATTCACTCGCTTAAAATTGATGAGCGAATTAGCCGTCTCTAAGAGCGACTTGAGAAAGAAATTGGGACAATTATTTTACTTACAAAATTTAGCAAAGGTAAGATTTTGTTTTATTATAGTCAAATTTTTAGATATTGTGATTTTTTAAAATTACCGAGGATTAATTGTGTATTAGCATATTAGACTAAAAGTAAATTTTGAATAAACATAGTCACCATTTACCTTACACAAACAAACTTAATCATTTAATAAAGTATACAGTTCTTTTCAATGTATACTTGTATTGTGTGTTTATAAGATAGCCTTCTTACAAGTACATAATCGAGTTTGTCATTTCAAAGTCTATAACATTGCAAGATTTTACATCATTTTGCAAGCTCTCATTTACAGTAAAGATAGACAAGAGAAGCTGAAGTAATTGGTAAAGCAGATTTTTGTTAAAGAAATAGAGAATTATTTATTATTTGTTGATTNCACCACAATACATCCTGAAAAAGTATATAATAATATAATAATAATAATGATATATATAAATACTATATTAAAGCATTATTAAGTTTATAAATAGAAAAAAAGAACAAAAGACGAATATAAACTTATAAATTATGGTAAAGAAATTTTTTCCATGTAAAATGGTTCTATCTAGAGCTTTGAATTTTTACTTGTCTCTAGATGAACATTTTCACTGAATTAAAATTTGAGTAAAGCAAAGAACACTTGTAATAAATTTTAAAATATTTAAATGAAAAATTTTGTAAAGCAAATCTATATTTCTAGTAGTTTATAATATCACTTGAAGAAACTATTAAAATATTTATGCATTTAAATTGTGTCAAAATGTATAATAAGAGAACCCGACCATCTGGCAACTCAAAATACTATGTAACTATTTACATAGTATTTTGAGATGTGAGACGGACGGGTTCTGTTAATTTGAATCTCTGTATTCTCTTTAGGAGTATAAATGGTTAAAAGAAAAACGTTTATACTCTTAAAGAGACTACAGAGACTCAAATCTATCAGAGATTAGAAGTGATTGGTAAGACTATGAAAACATCACAAACATAACTGATTAATCCATCATATTCAGACAAATATCTTAAAAAAAATTCTCTTGTGAGAGAATATATTCTCAACAGTCAACATGAGAGTAAATTATAGAAAATATTTCAAACTGTTAATTATTTATTTTAATTTATTTTTTAAAATATTAATTAAATTTGGACTATGTTGTTTTAAAGTTAAAGGAGTTATAATACAAGATGGAAATCTTCATATCAAATTATTTGAAGCTTTAAAAAAGGAATTTAGAGTAAGTAAATTTATAATAATCTGTTCTAAATGACTACTTCATTTATTATTGTATTCTTTTTGAAAATTATTAACTGAATTAATTCTAAAACATTAAAGTAAATGTTTTAGTAGAGCATAAAACTTACAAAATTATAAAATACGAATTGATTACTTTCAATAGGAATTCATTAGGAAGCATTCCCTCTTCTCTGTCTGAAATTGGTATGCTTTATTTCATTATTATTGATAGTTTTTATTGTTTGAGAGGGGAATTGAATTCAATCTTGCTCCTTTCTTGAAGTCACTCATTAGAAATATTGACAATGCAGCAATTAATCTGATAGTAAAGAAGTGCTGTTCCGAGGCCAAGACCTAGATTCAGCAGTTGCAAAGAACTTTTTGTCCCAATGGTCTGTTTTTAGGAATTCAATAGGATTATATATTATGTTTATGACAAACAGTTAAACTTGAAAGTACTTGAATAATTAATTGGGCTTTGAAATTTGAAAAAATTGTACAGCTATAATTCCCACTGTCATCAATCTGCCCTTCCTTAATCTCGAAAAATTATTAGATGGACAAAAATCAAGAACAGATATGGAAAACTTAGGGCAGGAGGCCCCAATTAACTATATAGAAACTTCCAGTGTGCACTGGAAGTCTCATTATTTCAATTCAAATATTTTCTCCTGAAAGGAGTTAGATGACCAGCATAACTTTATTGCTAACAGGAAAAGTATGATGTATGGGGCCAAGACACTATTAATTTGAAATGGAGAACATATATTTTAAATTAAATTAATTAAAAATATGATTAAAAATTGCAGCCCAGCATTGTGATGATGTTGCAATAAAATAATTGTTCGCGAATTAAATTTGCAAAAGAAATGTGAAAACTAAAGTATTGTTGTCATAATACTATATTTCCTTGATTATCCCCATGGTTTATTTGATATCTCAGGTTTTTTTTCAAGGTTAGGGTTTATTACTTTACAAGTTTGTAAAAATTGAAAGAAATATCTCAATTACTTGTACGTTTTCCAAACTATCAAAACCATTTCTAGCTGTAACCTATAAATACAATCAATAACATATGAAGTAATTATTGTTTTCATAGTTAATCTGATCCAGTGTCTTTCAATTTGGTTATTATGTTGTCATTCATATCTGTTTCAATGTTGTCAGAATCTGGATCTTGACTATCTGGTTCAAACTCACCATTTCCAACTCAAGCATTTCTAATTTCCTTGTTTGATAAACTCCAGACTTGTGAACTCAATCACGACTTTCCTATGCTCAATTATTGACAATATGTGTAATTTGATTTCCAAAAATGGTCTTGTGAACCTTGGAATAGAAAATGCTGTCTGACTCTAGACAATTTGAAGAGGTAAATTCTAGTTAAACTAAGCCACCTCGCCAGCCACTTCAACATGTTTACCATGCTTTTTAACCAGGACTTTATTCAAGGAAATATGGTAATATATTTTTATGATGATTAATTTGTACATTTTTTAAAATTTGAGATGAAATTGAATTAATTTTATTAGTAAATGAGATAGTTAACTGATGACAATGAGGAGAAAATCCTCAAATTGTTCTTCAAACAAAAAGACGAAAATAAAATTATATAAAGGTTTTCTTATTTTATAGAATCTAATACAGAATCAGATAAAGAGAAATATTTAATTATTTTTCACACATCTATAAATAGTCATTTACTTTTATAATAATTATTTTGCTTTAAATTTATTAATGTACTCATTATTAATCATTTTAATGTCTTATAGGCGTTAAGAGCCGTATGGATGCAAATCAGGGATCACGCGTCAGCAATAGATGAATTAGACATGGCCACATTGCGATTTCGAGTAAGATACAATAATGAGCCACAACCGGAGATACCTGTACCTTACATTTTAGAAAAAGAAGAGGTAATTTTTAAAGATTTATTAATTTATAATTAATTTGTGATAGCGATATGCTACCGAATATATAGCCAGAATAATTTTAGGTTAAAAATTTTTCTAAAACTAATGGACCAAATTCAATCAAATTTTATTTAAGGGTTCAAAAAATGTTTGTATACCTGTTTCTAAGACACTTTCTCATGTTCTTAAATATGTTGTGCCACTCTTTAGACATTTTATTTGTCAGTACTTTCCAAATTTTTGTTTTTGGTAGCTCAAGATCTTTTTGAATGTTCTTGTTTACATAAAACTTGAAACTTTTCAAATCAACTGAACATTTGTCACATTGTTCTCTTTTTAAACTGATTTTTAAACAAATCTAAAATGATGTTTTCAACCTTTATATCAAAGAAATAGCAGATGAGTTAATGTGAGGTAGCCATGCCAGGAAAAAACAAGACATTGCATCTAGCAATGAAGAGAATTGGCCTGTTCTTTACACTCTTTTGAGTATCTCTTCATTCATAGTGCCTTCCAAGATGTATGACTCTGATATATTTCATTTTCATCAATAGCTTCTCACGTCATATATTTTCTAAAAAATTTCTTTTTTGGCTTAAATCTTTTTCCATTCAAAATGGAGAATTTTTCACAGCAGCTTTCTTCTAGATGTGTTGTTCGGATCAGCCGCTAGGTAGGTTTTCTCATTAAGGATGAGAATTTAAAATGTGTTCAAAGCCTCTTGTCCTATTCAATTGTTGTACTTATTAAATCTCACAGCTTGAAAAATGCAGAACTTATCATACAAGAATGTGTTACACTCCTGTATGATAAGTCCTATGTTTGTCAAGTTGTAAGATTAAAAAGTACAAGAATTTTAGACGTTAATGGTACTATTGTTCAATGATGTTTTGACAGGCCATTTTGGCTTGATTTTTGATTCTCAATATAGAGAGGTGCACACTTTTTTATTTAACTTTAAATCCCTACTTCTCCACTTTTATTAGGTTTAAATAACCTTTTGATATTTCACAAATAGTCATTTCGGATTTTGGTACCGACATATTTGGGTTTTTCACAATCGGTTGCTTTGCTCGCTTCTCCAAGTTCTTGTTTTACTTAGAAATTGTATAACCAGACATTTTTTCACATTTAGCATATCTGAATCTCATATCTTGACAATCTATTGTACAATGTTGATTTTGGAATACCTTCTTCCATAAAGTGAGAAACTGTTTGCTACATTTTCATACTAATGGCAAACCCTTTTAGAAAGAACTTGCCTGTCTTCAATGAATTGGTTTGAAAAAAAAAGATATCAAAACAAAATTTTACAGACTACATGTTGCCTTGGGTAATTGGGTTCAAATATTTGAATTCAATCAAGTTTAAAGATGATTAGGGCAGTACAACAACAGTAAATAATGAAGATATTTCAGATTATATTATTTAAATACGAAAAACATTTATTTTTATTTATTTGTAACTGTAAAAACTTTCGAAAAATAAATGATACCAGATTATATCTCACTTGAGTAATTAACAAATGATTCCAGTTTAATTTATAAATTTAGAAATATACCTCTTCTGTGTCATTACAATAAAACACAGCCTGAAGCAAAACTGGGAAACCAGTCAAATGAGGACCTGCAGAACAATAGCAGAAAGAGATCCACAGAGACTAACGGTACACAGAGTTAATTAAAGGAACATATCTGTTATATATACTTTTATACTTTAACAAACTTTATTAAAGTTATAACATGCACATACTCTTTAACTTACAATGGGGTTAAATACTACCACTTTTGATAAGAAATCTAATTTAATATCCAGTGGTAAATGCATAAAAACTTATCAGCCAATTACTGATGAAATTTTAAAAATATCTTGATATTTTTTTCATAAACATGTATTTTGAGGCAAAATCAAGATGTATTCTTATATGAAAATAGTGATTAAACAGTTAAGAGAAATAATGAAACTTACAATAATTTGTACATCTTTTTTGAAGTTACATAATCCATATAAAAATTAAATCATTAGTTAAGAATTGATTGATGAGAATTGAATTACAAATGCTGTTTTGACTATTACTATTTGTCAATACAACTAACAACACATGCACTACTTCCGATTAGGAACGTAAATTTTTTCTGTTTGGAAGTATTAACAGTTTTTGTTTCTCTTGTATTTATCATAATAGAGATCATCTCTCTTATCAAATCATATGTAAGTTTCATTTTATAGTTGACCAAGTGCATCCTTGGATAAAATGGGCAATTGGCATTGTCGGACATCACAGTTCTTGTCATTCTGTTGTAATGAGGTTAGACAGTAAATTAAAAAATTTCTGATTTTAATGACTTTAAAAGTTAAATATAATAATTGTCTTTATTTATATTATTTATTTAGTGAATAGTTTTTCTATATAAATTTTCAAGCAGCATTAATTTTCTTGTTATATCTGACAGGGGATTTATCAGTTATCTTTCAATGGTTCTTTATTATTAATAGAAGAGATAATTAACCATTAATTTTTTTTTAGTCTTTTTGAATAGCTCAGGAAGAGCATCTAATGTANTTGGGAACGTAAATTTTTCTGTTTGGAAGTATTAACAGTTTTTGTTTCTCTTGTATTTATCATAATAGAGATCATCTCTCTTATCAAATCATATGTAAGGTTCATTTTATAGTTGACCAAGTGCATCCTTGGATAAAATGGGCAGTTGGCATTGTCGGACATCACAGTTCTTGTCATTCTGTTGTAATGAGGTTTGACAGTAAATTAAATAATTTCTGATTTTAATGATTTTAAAAGTTAAATATAATAATTGTCTTTATTTATATTATTTATTTAGTGAATAGTTTTTCTGTATAAATTTTCAAACACCATTAATTTTCTTGTTATATCTGACAGGGGATTTGTCAGTTATCTGAAAAATGTATATAAAACAACCAAAACCCTAAAAGGAGAGTAATTTAAAAAATAAAACAATCACTTCAATTCTTTCAATGGTTCTTTATTATTAATAGAAGAGCTAATTAACCATTAATTTTTTTTAGTCTTTTTGAATAGCTCAGGAAGAGCAACTAATGTATTATTAAATTATATCATGTTATATTTTTATTGTTTTTAATAAATAGATTTTTCACAGATTATTATAACAATTAAATTTTTGTTGTCTAGGTAGAATTCACTCGCTTAAAATTGATGAGCGAATTAGCCGTCTCTAAGAGCGACTTGAGAAAGAAATTGGGACAATTATTTTACTTACAAAATTTAGCAAAGGTAAGATTTTGTTTTATTATAGTCAAATTTTTAGATATTGTGATTTTTTAAAATTACCGAGGATTAATTGTGTATTAGCATATTAGACTAAAAGTAAATTTTGAATAAACATAGTCACCATTTACCTTACACAAACAAACTTAATCATTTAATAAAGTATACAGTTCTTTTCAATGTATACTTGTATTGTGTGTTTATAAGATAGCCTTCTTACAAGTACATAATCGAGTTTGTCATTTCAAAGTCTATAACATTGCAAGATTTTACATCATTTTGCAAGCTCTCATTTACAGTAAAGATAGACAAGAGAAGCTGAAGTAATTGGTAAAGCAGATTTTTGTTAAAGAAATAGAGAATTATTTATTACTTGTTGATTAGAATAGAGACTTTTTCGCAAAGTTCTGCTATAACATAAAATTATCCAGAATGTTTAGAAGGACCTTAGCATTTGTATATTGTCTAAAACAATGGCCATAAATTAGTATAAAAATGATCATGGCCTACCACACTATTGAATTACAGTAGAACGTCGATTTTCCGAATCAATTGGGGCTGGGGTTGTCCGGATAACTGATATTTCGGATAACTGATTTACATACGAAAAAATAGTTTAACGTATTCAATGTTGAAATTTTTCTCCATTGCGTGTCGTTGCATTAAATTTTCGTCGATGTTAAGCCTAACAAAGACTATTGTATCGTTAAAAATTATTTTTTTATTTTGTACAAACAAAATAAATACAGTGGTACCTCAGGATACGAAATTAATCCGTCCCGAAACTGAGATCGTATCATGAAAATGTCGTAAGGTGGATCATCTTTTCCCATACGATTACATGTAAAACCAAATAATTCGTTCCAACGCGAAAAACATACTCAAATTAAAGCCAAGTAATATATTTAAAAAAATAACTGTAGTAAGAAAAAACAAATGAAAAATGCGAACTAATGTAACGTCGTATGGTGAGTTTTTGTTCGTATCGTGGAGCAAAAATATGTTCGAATTTCATGTCGTATCCTGAAAATTTCGTATGCTGGGGCGTTCGTAACCTGAGGTACCACTGTATNTGACTATTACTATTTGTCAATACAACTAACAACACGTGCACTACTTCCTATTGGGAACGTAAATTTTTCTGTTTGGAAGTATTAACAGTTTTTGTTTCTCTTGTATTTATCATAATAGAGATCATCTCTCTTATCAAATCATATGTAAGTTTCATTTTATAGTTGACCAAGTGCATCCTTGGATAAAATGGGCAATTGGCATTGTCGGACATCACAGTTCTTGTCATTCTGTTGTAATGAGGTTAGACAGTAAATTAAAAAATTTCTGATTTTAATGACTTTAAAAGTTAAATATAATAATTGTCTTTATTTATATTATTTATTTAGTGAATAGTTTTTCTGTATAAATTTTCAAACACCATTAATTTTCTTGTTATATCTGACAGGGGATTTGTCAGTTATCTGAAAAATGTATATAAAACAACCAAAACCCTAAAAGGAGAGTAATTTAAAAAATAAAACAATCACTTCAATTCTTTCAATGGTTCTTTATTATTAATAGAAGAGCTAATTAACCATTAATTTTTTTTAGTCTTTTTGAATAGCTCAGGAAGAGCAACTAATGTATTATTAAATTATATCATGTTATATTTTTATTGTTTTTAATAAATAGATTTTTCACAGATTATTATAACAATTAAATTTTTGTTGTCTAGGTAGAATTCACTCGCTTAAAATTGATGAGCGAATTAGCCGTCTCTAAGAGTGACTTGAGAAAGAAATTGGGGCAATTATTTTACTTACAAAATTTAGCAAAGGTAAGATTTTGTTTTATTATAGTCAAATTTTTAGATATTGTGATTTTTTAAAATTACCGAGGATTAATTGTGTATTAGCATATTAGACTAAAGGTAAATTTTGAATAAACATAGTCACCATTTACCTTACACAAACAAACTTAATCATTTAATAAAGTATACAGTTCTTTTCAATGTATACTTGTATTGTGTGTCTATAAGATAGCCTTCTTACAAGTACGTAATCGAGTTTGTCATTTCAAAGTAATAACATCGCAAGATTTTACATCATTTTGCAAGCTCTCATTTACAGTAAAGATAGACAAGAGAAGCTGAAGTAATTGGTAAAGCAGATTTTTGTTAAAGAAATAGAGAATTATTTTTTATTACTTGTTGATTAGAATAGAGACTTTTTCGCAAAGTTCTGCTATAACATAAAATTATCCAGAATGTTTAGAAGGACCTTAGCATTTGTATATTGTCTAAAACAATGGCCATAAATTAGTATAAAAATGATCATGGCCTACCACACTATTGAATTACTTCCACTTATATCTGAATAATGTCCTCAAGGCATATGATGTTGTTGTTATTGATAATGCTTATTTCAAACAGTTAATACTTTAAAAAATGAATATATATATTTGTTTTTATGATTTAACATTTCATTGTTATTTATCTATATTACATGTTTTTCAGGCTGATTTTGGATGCAAGGGTGGATCGAATCCCGACACATGTCCTGTCTGTCGTCATGTTTTGGGAATTCAGGTGGGTATATTTCTAATTATAATGTTTTCAAATGTGTTACATACATTTTTAAACATTATAAAGCAACAAGTTAGAAAGATAGTACAAATGCCACAAAATATTCCAGTATATTTCTATGCTCTTTTGAATGCACAATAACTTTTAACACTGCATTGTAACATTGATAAAATGCACATTTTAAACTTCAAAAAAAGAGTACTTGCTACAGGAAGTCAAAGTGCTCATTTAAATTAATACAACAGTTCAAAGTATAGCCAAAAATGCTTATTATTGGTGCATAACTTGTCATATAGTTTACTTACAATGATTTCTGGTTGTCTTACATTGCAAATGTAAGGTGCATCTTTATTTGGCCCTGGAAAAATGGATGAAAAAGTGTATCTTTAGAATCAAGGAAATATGCTATAACATTTACATTAATGTTTAACAATATTAAAAAATACAATTTTAATTTAAAAAAATTTAATACTCATTTCATTTTCATTGACATCAATTTTCAAGAAAGAATTTATAGTTTATAAGCAACACATACACCACTGCTTTCTTGGAAATCACAAAGGCAATATTTCTTAAATTAGAGAGAAGATAGTGAGTAATGTGGCGTGATAAATGTATCATGAAAATTTGGTACCCCTGAGGATGGGCTAGTAAGTCTGAAATTACTAGAATTTAAGGAAATATTTTGCTTGGATCTCAAAGAAAGCAGAGAGATGTATTTCTTGAGATTGTCTGGAAGATATCCAGTAGTGTGTAGTTTTACTCGGTTTATCTAAATTAATTCATGTTAAATAATTATTGTACACAAATTTTGCTTTACATATTCTTATAGTGGAACGTGCTGCAGTGTGGACATTGTTTCTGTGTAAGTTGCATCCATTTGATGATCTCTAATTATTCTACACCAGGACGTAATCGCTCCGTCAGGTGTCCGGTCTGTAGACAGTTAACTTCTCATGCAGAAATATCATTTGTTAATATTGAGGAAAATAATGACGAATCACAAATTCCCGTTAAGGTAAGGAATATTTATGTTCAATTAGATAAATATATGACTCATTTATTTTAACAAATGCACAAAGCTATTTATAATTTTTGGTCTGATTTTATTTATGAAATATATTATACAATGATTAGTAATAGTTGATGGCTGAACCAATTATTGCTCTGAGGGATCTGAGATATATTGGGCTCCATCCCCTCACTCTCTGGTGATGGGTACAGAAGAAAAAGATTCTTAGCACCAACAGGATAGACGTAGTAAAATAAATAAATAAACAAAAATAGGCATACATCCAATAAAAGAACAATAAATCATTTAAAAGGTTGTAATCACAAGTTCTTGAAATTGTGTACAACTGGGTCCTTAGTTCTCCAAATGCTCGATAGGTGGAAACAGTTGCCTGAAAATGGATTAGACTTTATGCATCGAGGTCAGAAGAACTAACCTTGTGTGGTGTTTTCTTGGAGGGTATGTCACTGATAGTGTCTTTGTGTCACCAATGCCATACAATTTGCTAGAATTAAGCACAAGAATTACTACAGTTGTCAACACAATCGATACTGCACTCTATGCTAGATTTGGTCCAAGACAGATTATCCTCGACATTTGAATGATCTCAAAGGAAAATCCACATCAAACATCTATTGTGAATTAAAAACTTGTGATTACAACCTTTCAAATGATGAATTGTTCTCAACCATGTACTTAAAAAGTAAAATCAGATCTGGAATTATGAAAAAGATACAAATTTAATTCTGGTTGCAAAATATAAATATGAACTGCCATTATACATCTGTTTACCATTATGGATAAAGAAATTGAATGTAATAGGTTATTCTTTCAGTTTCATTTATTTGGAAATATCCAGCTGATTAACAATATATTGGTACTTATATTTTAATATTAAAAAATTAGCGAAATTATAGTTTAATTTTATGATTGGTATCTCATTTTGCTGCCTGATTTATAGAATGGCAATGGAGAGCTAAAGAATGGAGTTGATTATTTAAATAATTTGGCAAGCTATCTTAGAGAGTATCGTATTAAAATTGAAACCAAATTTTCATTTTACTGAAATATTATCTGAATGTGAAAGTTTAACTTTCACATTCAGATAATATTTCAATTTCAGATAATATGTCTTGTTTTACAAACTTGAATAAAAGGTAGAAAAATGAATCTTTTATTTCAATTAAAACAACTTTGAAATCTGCACTTTTTTACTGTAATAGTAGGTAAATTGAATAAACATATTTTTGCTTTTTCTTGTTAATTTTAAAGTTCAAAACAACCCCTTGGTTAAGATGTTCTAAATTAGACATCCGCAAATGTTTCTGAGAGTTCTTCCGGTTTCGGATTTTTTTCTCTTGTGAATTGAACTTCAGTCCGAAGCCGAGAGAAATTTTGAAAATGTTTGCCTCCAATTTAATATAGGAGCTATTTTGAATCTTTAAAGCAGTAATGGCTATGCATTGATCTTGCACATCAATTCAATAAATTAATTTAGTTTTGGTAAATGTATATTTATTATCTCTTCATAGACTGCATTTCGTAATAAGGATACACTACTCAAAAACCTTTCAAACTGCAGCCAAATTTATTATCAATTTCATTAAAGATGACCGAAAACGTTTGAAATTGATAATAAATTTGGCTGCAGTTTAAAAGGTTTTTGAGTAGTGTATATATTTATTATATGATGATTTTAGAATTACTAGAATTTTGATTGGATGATTATATTGAACACAGTTGCTTTTTTTTGGAAATGAAGTAATAGAAGAAAAAATATATATATTATTACACTTGTGATTTGATTTTGTGTCAGATAATGTCCCAGGTGCTTAAAATTGTACACTCCATTATCCTACAAAAAAAAGCTTGCAGGGGCTTGCTATGTTTAAAGCTTTTGGTGTTTGTTGTTTAGAAGTCTTCAAATGCTTGGCATGCTTGTAAGACACAGTCAAACAAAAACATTACTGATGGCTAATGGTTCGGCCTTTGTCAAACTCCATCAAACCAAGGGAAGTAGAATGACCATTTTGATTTTGAGATGTGTTGGTGCAATGGATATGTGAAGACCGGCAGACTCTAGATCACCAGAAAAGAGAGATGATTGCAGCTGTTTATTCTTGTCACACAATCAAAGACATCTTTGCTCACCAACCAGAAACAAATAGAAACCTCATTGTAGAATCCTGTACTTCTAGCAGACAAATTTTTATACACTAGTGACAACTGTATGTCTTGTAATTAGTGCCCCGACATCAGCTTCATTTGTAGTAGTGACATGACAGAAAAGCATGGACTACTATGAACTGACAGCATATTGTCACTAAAAACCACTGAAGCAAAGGCAAAATCAAAGCATTGATTTTGCCTTTGCTTCAGTGCCTTTGCTTCAGTGTTGTTGAGCGACACACTATCTCCACTGCTTACATGTCAGTCTGGAGAGCCAATTTGTATGATGGTTAGTCACCTTTAGTAGTGGTACAAGGGACATTAATTAATGACACAGTGGATAATCCTGCACCTTCAAATGTTGCCTTTACATGGCAGGGTTACAAACAATCATTTTCTAGACAGATGATGCTCTTCCACAAACAGCTTGGATTTCCCAGGAATGTCTCCATCACATTACTGCACTTATTTGGCCTGTACAGTCTCCAGATTTGTCTATTACTAACAATTAATAATTAAATTTAAACAATTTAGATGAATTTGGAAGAAAAGATGAACCAAACTAGGGTTTAATTCCACATCTTTCTCACATCATGCAAGAAGAAATTACTGATTACGCTACCTGCACCTCCATCTGATCTTCAATTCCAAACTTATTTTATAATGTTAGTCTGGCAGTTAGGCATCCAGTTTATTATTAATAAATTGGGCTTGCTGATTGTTTATGTAATCTTTAAGTATTTTTAAAAATATAAATTTCTTGTAGAATAAGAATTATTTTCATCAGAAATTGTTTAACAAGAATTAAACATTTTAATGAACATAATTTGCTTAATTTATTTTTTTAAATTTTAATTTAATACTTATTTGACAAATTATTAACGATCATAATTTTGGTTATTTTATAGGGAAGTCATTCTACCAAAGTAGAAGGTATAATAAGGTGCTTGTTAGAAATCAAACAACAAGATTCGGAAGCTAAAATTCTTGTTTTCTCAACCGTAAGTATTTTATTGTATCAAAAAAAAAAAAACTTTAGAATTTGTGCATTGGAATGATTAATATTTTAAAAGTCTCTCATTCTATTCTTATGCCCCTTTAAGCATTCCCTTGAATAATTTGTCATTTTAGGTATAGTATAGTGTGTGTGTAGGAAACAAAGATGTGCAGTATTTATGCAAATATTGTTGCACATAAGTAAGAATTAGGTATATTAGACTACTGTTACAGGTTTGAATTTAATCCAATTTTTATAATTTATCATTAGTAGTTGAGATTAGACATTGTTTTCTCTCCTTCATTCATGCTATCCAATTTGTTGCAGACTTATCCATTCATAGCAAACAAAAATGGCCATAAAACATTAATTTACTTGTGCTTCAAATGCAAAATTAATAGATCAAATTGACCAAGAACAGCTAACTTGTCTTAAAAACTATAGTATAGATATTTGAAGGCTATTATAATTACAGTATACTGGGAGATTCAAAAGGTTGGTCTCAAACTTCAGGAGCATATAAAGGAGTCAAAATAGTGTGATTTTCAACTAAGAACAAGAACTTGTGTTCATTGATGTAATCCAGAATTGGTACAAGCTGCATAAGGAACATTGCTATTGTATGTATTAGAGATAGGTTGACCTGTGAGATGTTAACATTGTGAATTTACTGACAGTTACAGGTCTCCTTGTGCCATCAGAATCTCATGGTCTACATGAAGTAGATCAATGCAGTTACGAAGAACTTTTAGATGTGCATTTCATCTAACATGTGCAACTGCATATTTGTACCTAGAATATTATTCAGACAGGCATCATCCATCACTCTGAATATTCCAAAATGGGTTCTCTGGGTTCAGTAAACTATGCAGGTCATCCATGACTCAGTAAAATAGTTGCTGCTGAAGAGGAAATACTTTTGTGTATGGAAGAGAAGACATCTTACATGCCATGGGAATATCACAAAGCACTGTGTAGTGGATTTGCACAACTTTCACTTTCACTCCCATCCACTTTAAGTGCATGCATTGCCTGCGGAGGATTTCACATAATGGATACAGTTTTGCCAATGAAGTTTGCAGTATTGTCACGATGACACCAAGATTTTGAGCCAAGATCCTTCACCATAGATGGCTTCTTCAGTTGCCGAAACAGCCAAGTTTGAGCAGAATGCAATCTCGATTCCGCATTGGTACACCACCATTAAATATAGTCCAGAGTGAACACATACAAGAAATTCTAGGTGATTGCCTGTTTGGATCTTACCATTCAAATGTCTCCACCTCTGAATGGGCTAATGTACACTTTTTAGAATTCATTTTTCCCAACCTGTTAGAAGACATTCCTCTTATCAAGTGGCAATGAATATGGATTCAGAACAATGGAGTGCTAGCACATTTTACTTGTAAGTCATGGCCATTCTAAATCACATCTGTCCAGCATTGAATTGGAGGAGGAAGTATGGTTGGATGGCCAGTCTACTTTCTGGACTTTGCACCATTATTTATTTTGGGGAATATCAAAAGCCTCATTTATGAGACACCAATGGACAACTCGGTTAGCTAGAATTCTTACAGCAGTGGATGTGGTCCAGATGCTCAGGATATTTGAGAGGGTGGACCAGAGTTTTCTTTGAAAATGCAAAGCCTGCATCGACAGTGGAGGTTGTCAAGTTGAACAGTTTTTGTAATAGCAGTGTACACACTACATTCATGTATTCTTGTTTCAATATTATTCATTGACATATTTTATTGTTGTCATGCTATCTGCAGTATAATTCCTTACCAACTTTTCATGACTTGTACTGACTCAGGATTACGTCATTGATCACACATTCCTGCTCAAAAGTTGCTCTATTTCAATCTCTATTTATTCTCCTAAAGTTTTAGGCTAACTTTATGAATCATTTTGTGTGGTGCATCATTGAATGCTTGGTGCATTCCATTTTAGAATCTCACAAATTCAAAATCATGGCTAAACCTGAAGCAGGCTTCCCAAATAAGCCGAAAATATTTATTTATTTTTTTTTTTGCAGTAAATTCATTTGCTGGAAAAGTATTAATGGCATTTGCTTTGTGTTTTATCTCCGTTCCAGCTTTGACAATTAGTTGTAACTGTGAATTCTTCAGCTATAATCTAGAAAATTCTATAAATAGAATTAATTTGTCAAATTAAACATGTCATATTCAGAGAATAAAATAAAAAACTTATTCACAAATATTATATTTAGTTTTGATTACGAGTTAGAATTATTTTTTTACAAATTTTGGATCTCAACTACCATATTTTATGGCATATAAGACATGCCACCTTTACATGCAGAATATTTAGGAAAAAATAATTTAGTTTATTGAAGCCTATTTGGGGAATTTATTAGTCCATGGGTTTGCAACTTCACAAATAAGACAGTAATTTTTTTTCCTTATAAAAGTTGTCTTATATGCCATACAATAGAGTACTTGCATTTCTTAGTTTGAACATGTAATTTGCTTTAAATTGGGTCACCAAGCTTTTTGACTGTCGACCCGTTTTAAGATTTCTCAACCTTTAATCAATCCCCTCTTCTCTTTTTGCTAATACAGTTAATAATAATATCTGGTAAGTCAGTATTAATCCATACACTGTTTTCATGAAAAAGATCTACTTAGAGTGTGCATATTTACGTCCCAACCTGTCATATGCATAACCCACCAGACTAATAATTTTTAACAGACCATTTTCAAAATAAACCCTCAACTAACTTTCAACTGCCAAAAATGTCTTATCGACCCCTGAGGTTGATATTGACCACTTTTTGATGATTTAAAATGGATGGCTCTAATTTTATTTTTAATATACAAGGTAAAAACTATTGTTACCTTAAATGTCTCTTAAAGTAACTGAAAAATTGAGATCCCATTTCTTCACAGTTCTATGGTGGCAAGGGAAATGTATTCGAATTCAATCTCCAATCAGTGTGTCAAGATAAAATGAAGACCCATTTATTTTTTAAAATGTTTTCTGTGTGTGTGTTTTTTTAATAGTGGCTACTAAAAGGAGAGGAATACATTAGCCTATGACATAAGGAGATTCAAAATCATTGAAGCACAGTTATAACAAAAAGATGGAACTTATCAAAGCATGCTGTAATAATTCTCTATATATAAACACATGCGAAACAGAATTATTATCAGTAGCCATTATCAAAAATCAAATATACGCATGCATTTTATTTTAAAAAATGAAAGATCTTCATATCATCTTAACATATTTGCTTGATATCAAAATTATTATTTTATTATTTTATCCAAACAAGCTCCCCTGCCACTATGAACCTTGAAGAAATGAGATATCAATAGTTCACTTAGTTTAGGAGATATTCAAGGTAACAATAGTTATATTACATTAATTAATATTTATGTAATTTCTCATTTTTCAAAACTATTTCAGTGGTTATAAAGTCTCTTGTTTGCCAGAGTAGTAAACTCCTCAGCATACTGCTTTGGAAAATCCATGATTTAACTCGGACAATCAAAAAGCCCCAGGAATTTTTCAGGAGCAGCTCATTGCCATCCCTTGTTGCTAGGTTATTTCGTCCTGGGCCTGGACAATGATGGGTGTGATTAAAAGGCCTTCTTAGTGCCCACAGGGTGATAAGAGTAAAAAAACACACACACACACACAGTAATCTTAATACAGTCAACCCCCCCTATAACACGGTAGATATGTTCTGTTCTTTATGAATCCATTTTGTACGAGTCCTTGCCAATCACTGCCCAGCACGTATGCACTTTACAGACTACGGCTGTTTGAAAGGTTTTCTTCCATAAAATTAATCGATTCCTAGACTAATTTGACTCAACATTTCCAAAATACGTATATTTTTTTGGGAATAATCCATATAAACTATGCTATAAACAAAAAATTGTAGGATTACTTACTGAGTGTGCACTGTTTGACGTCGCCATTGCTTAAGCTTGTTTTCGTTGCGGAGCAGCGCACCAAACGGCAGCCGTGATTTCTGATAAGTTATTTTTCTGCGAAAACTTCATTGAACTTTGGAGACATCATTAATATAAATAATTTTTATGGCTGTTGAATAAGAAATGTTTCTTTCACAAGAAATGTATAAAATTAGTGCTGTATTAGACTTACGGTACCTAATTTACATACTGTACAGACGATAGTAAACTCAACTTACTCGCCTAAACTCTCCGTAGCGTGGCGCTGGACGGCGGAAAGTATATATATAATTATAATAAAGTTACAATAAATTAAGTTTATATATAATTATATATACAGTACCTAATTTATATATAATTATATGTACTGTACCTAATTTATATATAATTTATATATAATACTGTACAGACGATAGTAAACTCAATTTACCCGCCTAAACTCTCCATAGCATGGCGCTGGACAGCGGAAAGTAGTTTGGCTGCCCGATGACGTTTTACCAAATTATAGGAGTTTTTTGCCATGTTTGTATGGATACCGTTGCAATTTTTTCACCGTCATATAGGAATCTGAACTATAGGAATCCGTATTATAGGGGGGTTGACTGTATTTGGCTATTGAATATAAGCCATTCATTATGAGGAACAGTTACAAGTTAACTTTAATATTTTAAGATTAAAAACAGAAATCTGGGTATGAAAATAATAGCTCATAGTCATTGGAAAATTTTGTATAATTTTTGTAGTAAATGTAATAACATAAATTATTTATTTAAGTATTCTTCTCAAATTTGTACTTAAAATTGATTTCTTCAACATATTTCAGTGGCAAGACGTGTTGGACGTTCTATCTCGTGCAATGTCTCAAAACAAAATCAGTTATATTATGTTACATTCCAGACCGGAAATAGTCGTAAGTTTGTATATTTTTAATTTAATTTAATTTTCCTCGTACCTTCAGTCACATATTAAATAATTAAAATTTATTTGTATTTTCTTTTTAATAAAAAGTAACAATATAACAATAACAAAGTTTTAATAAAAGTTCTACAAACAAATATTGTATTTTCTATATAAAAAATTATGACAACTTTTCATCTCTTGAAACTATACTCTTTAGATTGTTAAATGTTTTCTAAATTACAAGCTTAATCTTATACCAAATTAGATGCCAAATTCACAAAAGTGGTATTGCTGATGACATTGTATGCTGACATATGGTAACAGTTTGATGATAACAATTCGTTGTAGATTTGTAGATATAATTTGCAAAAGTCATCATAGGGCATTTTACCAGTTGTGATGCAGTGTTCTATAATTACTTTTGTGAATTATATTGAGGGTACAGAAATGTCGTCAGCAGGTTCGTTGACTATGGCCACTAAAAAATTAGAAATCTTTCTCCTTGTGGGTTTAGCAGTTGTTAAATGGTGGTAATTGTGAAAGAAGAAAAGCTGTGATACAAATGGTAAAATTAAGAAATTTTGTATTTTTTTTAAATCAGTTTATAACATGAAGAATCATAGTGCTTTTTAATAATGTATTCTGTAATTAATGATTATCAAATATATTTAGAATATTTTACAGTAGGCACACAATAAAATCAATTTTGAATTAAGAAATTGTAGAATTCCAGGATCCAGAAACACATTTATATGTAGAACTTTTGTTGTTCGTACCCTCAAGCTGAGCAGGAAACATCAGATTCTTGATTACAATAGGTAGTCTTAGATCAATTGCAATTGCAGCAGCAGTGAGATTGATCTCAGATCATCTGTTGTAATCAAGTGTCTGACATTTTCTGTTCAACTTGTGGCTATGAGTGATAAGTTTTAGATACAAATATCTGTGTTTCTGGATCCAGAAAATACTGACTGCATAAATAAAGATGTACTAAGACATTATAAGCCATTCTAATGGATACTCATGTTTTATCTTAAAATTTTTCGTAGTGACAGTTTATTTTCCATTGTATTTGAGAATGATCATGTTAATGACAAGTATCATCATCTAGAATAGAATACACAGGATGTCATAAGTCCTATTTTGAGTTACTTTTAATTCATTACTTGGGAGACATACCCAAATGCATTGGGTGTCGCACATAAGATAATGCCATCTGGTTTTTTCTGTGTAGTAGTTCCCGTTGTAGTTACTAATGTTGGCCATTAGAGGTGATTTATGCAAAACAAGGTGTTTTCTTGTTTCGTGAAAGCTTTTTGCATCCTTCAATTCGACAGAAATCATTCAACATCAATGCTCTCTTCTGACTACTGAACATGAATAAGTGGCACCCACCAGAAAGTCAATTACAAAATGGTGTAATCAATTAATCACAAGTTGTTTATGACCACAGAAGAAGACTAGTCATCCACCAGTTCCCAATGAACATGTCAAGCATGTATGTAAGGCTTATCAGTGTAGACCTAAGAAGTCATCTTTGCAAAGCCTCTTATGATCTGGAAATGCCATGTCAGACAGTGTGGAGGTTGTTATGAAAATGGTCACAGCCACAGTTACAAACTGATGTGTTATGCAAAGTCTGGCAGAAGTTTGGACTATCGTGTCATAGATGGCACTCAGTCACTGTAATGTAATGTCAGGATTGTGAAACCTAGATGTATTGTCCATCATGTAAATCATAAAACATTATCTGATGTGCCATGATATTTGTATAATAAATTTTGAAAACAGGACTTACAGGGACACCTATATATATACATAGGGTGTCTATAAAGTAAATCCTTTGTATACAATAAGTCTATTAAGTGTCTCCTAGCAATTGCTGGATTACCAATATTTTACCATATTTCAATATAATAATTGTTCTATGGAATATGGTAATTTAATATATTATGATCCATACCTGAAATCTGATATTATGTTTATGACATTAGAAACATTACAACAATTTTAACAAGACAAATGTCAGAAGAATTGGTTTTTAATATTACAAATTTTCACTAAAATTAACATTTTTATTCCCAGGATAATTTAACAAGATTTCGCCTGGATCCCGAGATAACTGCTCTACTTCTTCCAATACGTTCCGGAGCCAATGGCCTTAATTTGATCGAAGCGACCCATGTCGTACTGGTGGAGCCCCTTCTCAATTATGCCAGCGAATTGCAGGCGATTGGACGAATTCATCGAATAGGCCAAACCAAGTAAGACTGCACCTTTGTTTCCTAAAATCATGAAATATAAAGAGACATTATTTCAAAAATGCAGTTTCGAAAACTTCATTTTACATCAAAAAAATTACTTCCATAATGACAAAAGTACACATGCAGAATAGACCTTTTCATCGTAGACAACTTCTGGAGCCCAAGCTTTTCTTCTCCCCATTGATGAACTGGCACATTGCATTTTTTGTACAAAAATGTGACATGCCAGATTGTGTTTTACTGACATACTAATTACCACAACAATATTTCCATAATGGAAGTTTGTCAACAAGGATGATAAATATTCTGGTTCCGATGACTACCTATGTGGAAATATCTGGCATGAACTTGTACGCTTTGTATGCTTGTACGATATGTTGTAATCTGATAAATTAATTCTGTAATGACTTTTGTCATTACAGAATTAATTTATCAGATTACAACATATTTTTAAAATGTTTTTAGTAATAATTCTTTAATAATTATATGGGCATGCCTTGACTTTTGTACATATTCCTATACACACACACAGACATAAAAACTGACAAAGAAACTGGAAATATATACTAAAACAACCACTTCACACCTAAGCGATAATTCCAGCAAACAAACACTAAAAGGTTTAATGTTCAAACGTTTTCGGCCGTCTTTCAGAGGCCCTCTTCAGGAAAAATTGCATAGAACAGAAAAACAGCTCTATCTAACAGTTTTCGAATATAGCTGCGTTCTAATTTTTAAAATTTAAACGATGTTGACTACAACGATCGTTCCGTATTACAACATATAATTAAAAATATTTATAAATAAAGTTATAAATAAATACAATAATAATATATATGGTGTTAATATATACAACAATATGTGTGTTGTTGGTAATATATTCATTGTTAAAAGTTAGCCCGATGTATAAACGATATGAGATAGGGAAAAATTGTTTCCTTTAAAAAATCATAGTTATGCTTTGTGGCCTTGTAAATAATACTTCCACGATTGTGGAACCGGAATATAGTTGGCGTTGATGTAACCTCCCTTCATGCCCGCTATATAAATTTCAATAGCCTCCAACGAATGGTCAAATGCCCTGTGTAAAAGCATAGCTTCATCCCAACAAGGAGAAACCCCGGGTTCGGTAGCATACTGGGCTAGTGCAGTATTATACTTCCCCTTGGACACATCATACTTGTGATCTCGTATTCTAGCCTCTAGAGATCGATACGTGGACCCAATGTATGTTATATGTCTATTGAAGCGACTGTCTTGCAATGGAATGTGGTACACTCCTGGCGCTTTCTTGTCCTCAGACTTGTCTTTTGCATTAGATAATATTCTAAAAATGTTCTGTTTTCTCCTATAAGTTAAGTGCAATTTTAAATCCTTAGCAATTCTATTATAAATTTGTTGAAGGGACAGTTCACAGGGTGTTTGACTGACACGACTTATGTTCATTGGAGGCTATTGAAATTTATATAGCGGGCATGAAGGGAGGTTGCATCAACGCCGACTATATTCCGGTTCCACAATCATGGAAGTATTATTTACAAGGCCACAAAGCATAACTATGATTTTTTAAAGGAAACAATTTTTCCCTATCTCATATCGTTTATACATTGGGATAACTTTTAACAATGAATATATTACCAACAACACACATATTGTTGTATATATTAACACCATATATATTATTATTGTATTTATTTATAACTTTATTTATAAATATTTTTAATTATATGTTGTAATACGGAACGATCGTTGTAGTCAACATCGTTTAAATTTTAAAAATTAGAACGCAGCTATATTCGAAAACTGTTAGATAGAGCTGTTTTTCTGTTCTATGCAATTTTTCCTGAAGAGGGCCTCTGAAAGACGGCCGAAAACGTTTGAACATTAAACCTTTTAGTGTTTGTTTGCTGGAATTATCGCTTAGGTGTGAAGTGGTTGTTTTACACACACACATCCATTTTTGTGTAAAGGTCAAAGGACTGCCCATATTAAAAAATGCTGTTTTATTATATATATATATTTTTAAATATAAATTTTTAAAAGTAAGTGTAGGGAAGCAAATAAGGATCAGAGAAAATGTCAGAACAGTTAAGAAATTTATACTACACTTAAGAAGTGAAAGTACTCTCAATATCATGAGCAGTTTATTTTGCATCATAATACATAGTGTCAGAATCTTATGACAAAATAATCATAGCAGAAAGCGGACATCCCATAAACCAAACACAATAGCCATATAAGCACTATGTCATCATAGAAGTGCATGCATAATTATTGAGATATGTAGTAACAAAAAGTAATCTAATACTGAAAATATGGAAGAAACAAAATGGTAACAAGTAGTTGAAAAAGTAACCCACTTTGCAATCTGTCACTTCCACCCCTTGATGATACTTATTTGGACATAAATCCTGTGTTTTAGGCTTTATTTTGTTTAAAAATTTTATAGTTTTTCATACATTTTTGATAGAGTTTCATTTTGATTCCTTACTAAGGATCCTGTTATGTTTATCTTACCGGCACGTAGAAGTTTCAAATTCAAATTCAAATTTCTCTCCAGAATGCACTTTTCACAGACAAATCTAAAATAACTGTTTACATTATAAATTTATCACCTATCATATTTATATCCATTCCTTTTGGGATAACCGTCTTCCACTTTTCTTGGCCTTACCGGACAACATTGCTACTTCTCTTGCAAGGCACACTGTAGTCCATCTTTGCTCTTCTCGGCTCCTATTTATAAGATTATTAGAGTTTTATGGCTGGATGCTCCTAATCCTCTATCGTTTGAGAGTAAACAACACTAGCTCTTACTTACACAACAAAAGATATAGTTACTAATTATGTGTAGATATGAGATACAATGTACAACTATATACAAGGAGAGGGCAAAACAGTTGAGGCATACTCTTCTTGCTGTAGACTAATGTACTAATGTAGTTTACCTAGAATGGAAGACAATCAAATAACCAACAAGTGAGGATCCTGTACTTTTATCTCTCTTGATCACGATACTTGACAGTAGGCAAATTTTGATTATAGAAACTTTGCTCTTGACAACTTCCATTAGATATTTTTCAGCATAAGTTTCCTCTGGCAATTATTTCTTTTGTAATTTTGATTTTAATTGTTAAACGACATGTATCTAAATTAATTTTGTACTTTTTTTCCAGACCTACCACTGTACATAGATTCATCGTTAGGAAGACAATCGAAGAGAATATGCATCACATGTTACAGACGAATCATTCCACCACAACAATCGACACAGAAGATAACAACATCACTCTTTTTGAACTCCAACAGTTGTTTAATTGTAGATAATCATTTGTGATTTGTTCTTTTATCGATCCGAAAAACCGGATGTAAAATATTTTTTAAACACAATTCAGGATAATGTCGTAAGTCGTATTTCTAATTTTTTTTTTATTTGTATTTGTTACGTGTTTTTCAGACAAAGTTTAATAAAAAGAATTATCGAGAAGCATTTACATATTTCTCATAAAAGCAAATTAAAGCAATATATAAAAGATTTACACAGAAGTTCTATCCTCTAAAAATTAGAGAATTTCCTCTGCTTTTTCTGAAGCAGAGGAAATTCTAACTTTTGGAGGATTTTAGGATCTTTTCTGAAGAACTTAATGTCAATACATACACATAGCAAAATAATAACAATGAGACTAAATTAGCAATTTCGAAATCGTATCGTTATTTGTTCTGTTTTTCAACACTATGTAGTGCAACCACTCGACCACTTGGCATTTTTCATCTTAATTTTTATTCAGTTCAATTGATATGTGTATACATTATTTTGTACATATTTTGGGCTTAATAACGCCCCTCTTCATTCCACTAAAATCAAAACATACACACAAATTACAAGTTGCTATATGCATATATAATCAATGTAATTGTTATACTAAAATAGCTTGAGATCAAAATCTTTTTTTAAATTTTTTATCCACGTGACGGGTGCATAACTTACACATATAATCATTCCCGCTTATCTAGTAAACAAATATTTATCAATTATTGCACTAATTAACTAAAATTTTATAAATATATTCCAGACAAACCTTTGCATTATAATAAGAAGGACAAAAAATAATTTAGAATTTAGAACTTTTAAAAAGCCTGGTTCAATAAAAACAACTATAAAATACAATTCTAATATACCACTACGTATAAAACAAAATATATTCAACATGGAATATTGGAAAATATTCTATGGAAAATAAAAAATAGAATGAGTCAGAAGATTGATGCACATAAAGACATAATAGAGTTAAAAAAAATTCTTTCTGGATGGATATCCAAATAGATTAATTAAATCATGGGAAAAGAGAATAAATACCCAGAAGACTCTGGAAAAAATAAGCAAAATTCTAACGTAAAATATACCTCCTTTCCATATCTTAAAGGTTTATATGAAGAAATTAATAATGAAACTAAAAAAATTGACATTATGCTTGCACCAAAATATGAAAAATTATCAGTTAGATTAAAAAATCTAAAAATCCACAAAGACAGAAAAACAAATACCAACAGAAACAAAAAGTATTGTATACCAAATTACTTGTACTTGTAACGATACCAAACATTATATAGGAGAAATAAAAAGAAAAATGAAAGTAAGATTAAAAGAAACATCACAGATTTAAAATATCATCGAATCATCTCCGTTTTTTATGATCACTGTATGTTAAACAATTTCAACATAGACCAAAATAATATAAAAATTTTTCACAGAGAAAAAGAAACATACAGCAGAAAATTTAAAGAAAGTATAGAGATTCTTAAAAATAAAAAAATGTATAAATAAAAATTTAAGTTTAAAAATAAATGAAAATTGGCTAGAAATATTATAAAATAAAAAATAGATTGAAGCATTATAAAATAAAATTGAACTTGAAATTAAGAAATGAAAAGGAAATTTATTTTTATAAATTCAATTAAAATATTAATTAATCAGCAAATAACTGTTTACATATGAGTTGGTCATATCAACATACAATAATATGCAAATGGACCCAGTACTGTGCATCAAAATCAGAAAGGTGATTTAAGGGATAGCACGTAATAATAAACCTGTTTGTACGATACCAATTTCTTCGATTTTATTAAAAAAGAAGAGTAACCAGATATGCTGTCTAAATCCTATAGAATTTGTAACAAGTTTAATTCATTATAAATATTCTTGCTTATTAAAATCATAAAAATGAAATAGGAAATAACATGTAATAGTGCGACAGGGTTTATCGGATTTTATTAATGGAAGGAATAACTAGGTACCTCATCTTATTCATATAAACTTACTATATAAGTTTACTTCATTACTAAAAACTTATATAATCTCCACGTCTTACCGCTTTTGTAAGAAAAAGGAAAAAAAGAGTTAATAACACTGGCAATACCAGTAGGAAAGTATAATCTCCAGGTCTTACTGCTTTTGGAGAATGGATCAAGAACACTGGTAATAACAGTGGGACAGAAGAAAACCTTAATTTAAAAAAAAAATTAAAAAAGAAACATGCAAAGGTTTGTTTGGAATATGTTTATAAAACTTTAGTTAATTAGCACGATAATTGATAAATATTTGTTTACTAGATAAGCGGGGATGATTATATATGTAAGTTATGCACCCTTCATGTGGATAAAAAATTTAAAAAAAGATTTTGATCTCAAGCTATGTTTAGTATAACAATTACATTGATTATATATGCATATAGCAACTTGTGATTTGTGTGTATTTTTTTATTTTAGTGGACTGAAGAGGGGCATTATTAAGCTCAAAATATGTACAAAATAATGTGTACACATATCAACTGAACTGAATAAAAATTAAGATGAAAAATGCCAAGTGGTCAAGTAGTTGTACTACATACTGTTGAAAAACAAAACAAGACTAAACTTTAAACAGACTGAGAGGCAAATGGCAAAAGCACAGATAAAAAAGAACCTTGGTATTAATAATTGATTCAATGGTAATATAAACTGTAATGGAAAAAAACAGAATTACAGTAAGAAGAAATTCACACAACTGATGATGATCTTCTAATCCTATTATGGAGAAAGATTTTGCAGTGTTTATCAAAGATTTAAATCATGCAAAATTTGCACATCCAGTAGTAATTCTGTTTGTTTTATTTTAACTTCTGTTCTGCCTCTACAAAGAACAAATTGTCTGACTTAACACCATCAGAAAAGCCAGTTGGGGAATTTGATCAACCAATAGGAAAACCATTTGCCACAGTAATTGTCTATTAGGCAAGCAAATTTGGCATGTGGGCACAGGTGAAGACAATGTCCAACAAAATTTAAACATTTGAAACATGTTTGAAAGATAGAATGAGACCAAAACAAAAAATTTCATTCAAATTTCCGACCAGGAGAAAGAAATACCCAAATTTTATGCCAACAACAACGGATAGTGGAACAAAAGATGATGGCCAGGTGGCTGAGCAGTCAAGATGGCAGCCTATTGCTCTGGGGGACCCACATTTAAATTCCCAGAAATTTTTTGGGGGTGGTCCATCTGGATATGTCGGGCCACATCCCTCACCACCCAACCGCCCCATTGTGGGCCTGGCCAAACCCATAATGGGCTTGCTAATGGAGGACCTCTTAGTGCCCACAGGACAGAAAGAGTTTTTTAAAAAAAGTGGAAAAAATGAAGATAAGACTCAAGAACAAGAAGGCCAATAAAATTGAATATCCTTTTGGCTTCCAGGCATGGCACACTGCAGGTTCTTATGTATAAGCAGAAAATTTGAAATAATATTTTCCATCTGTATCATAAAGGATCCAAAAATCAAATATTTAAATTACTTAAGGCACATTTCGAGTTAATATTTCTACAAATTGTGGTATGCATGTTAGGTATATGCCCAATAATACGTACATTCTAAGTTTGTTTGGTTATGGCAATGCAACACTTGGGCGATCTGCCTAGGGGGAATGCCTTCCGGGAGGTCTTTTTAAGGGAAACTGGCCCCTATTTAGGCGTTACAGACGTGGAGAAAACCTGGAAATCTCTACGTGGCCAGCCCGTCCGAGCGAGACGCGAACCCACGACTGAACTCCCAGTGTTCAGGGTATGAAGACCACTCGGCCACTGGTGGGCCTTACATTCTAAGTAACAGGCTTGTTTAATTGTTACTTCTGATTGGATAATAGAACGTCACGTGGTCACTATGGAAAATTTTAAACAAATTTGTTATAGAAGCCAAGATAAGGTAATTTTCCTTATTATTTAAAAAGAAATTAAAATTAAAATTACACCAGTTGCCAAACCATTTAAAAATGCAATTTACAGCAGTTTAGCCATAAAAATTCCCAAGTGAAATAAAATAAAATTACAAAATTATTAAAGTTTCAACCAAACGATCGCGTTAATCAATACGAGGTCTATAAATCTGCTATTATTAATGATTAGATACTAAGTAATTAGCTACTAGAGTTAGATGTTAGTCGCCATCTTGTGGAAGAAACACATTTACCTTTCCGAATGAAGAGGACATTCGAGGATTTAAATTCGGAAAAAAGAAACTGTTCAGCCTTTTTCCAAACTGCAATACCACGTAACCCAACAAATCACAAAAACTTGCCCTTAAATACATCCTAAAATTGCACGATTAATTTTTATTTTTTAAATTTGCTCGTTGTCCTTTCAATTTCCTAGTTCCATCTACTCTAGTTTTTTCCTATCGATCATCGAGTAAATGTACCCGAAAATCAGATTGTGTATCATTTCGATATTAAGACGGCACATTCTGATTTAAACAATTTATGCTATTACATATTTAACTGCATGGAATTTATAAAATAATTATATAATTTCAAATCATAACATTTCTATTGTAAGGTGTATTTCGCTAACACGTTGTTTGGAAGAATAATGGCGGCTTAAAGTCAGGTGATCACATACTGCCAATAGAAAAGCGTTAGTTATATGGTCAATCACTCATTATAGGCTCTCTAATATCGGTTGGCAATTTTTCGTGAGTGATTTGTCCAAAATGTATGGGTTTGTTCACAGTATAAATAGAGTAAAAATAAGTAATTGTTTCTTTCATTATATATTGTATGTAGTTCTGTATACATATGTGGTGCAGTGCTCCTCCCTACAGAAAGATACGACACTTTGGCCTCCATAAAAAAACATAAAATGTATTCACTCTTTATGACGGAGATTCATTTTTAATCATCAACGAATTTTTAGTAATAAAACTTAGTTGTAATTTCGGCAAAAGCATTTATATGTCGAGAAATATTTCCAGACATTTTATTCTATTTAATTTGAGAAATAATTTCCGGAATCAGGAATCAAATTCCAGTTTAAAATGTTTTGTTACTTAACAATGAAATAAATAATATCCGCTTAACGATTTTTATAACAATATCAATTATTTGATTGTTTTCACCGTAACGTCGTGTCCAATTAAGATCATGGATTATTTGACGATACAATGCAAGGATAAACAGAGAATTACTATTTCACATTCGGAATTATGCGACAACAGTGGAATAATGAAGGACATGATTCTTTTATCTCCAAAATATCAATCTATTACGTTTCATTTTTCGTTTCACTATAATGTAATGTCATACATCGTAAAGTGAGTTTCTTTTGTACGGTTCTATTGATCAATATTCTGTCGAAAATAATTTTAAATGCTTTCCTACCTCTTAAATTAATTCATTTACTTTATTATCGTAATCACTTTTTTCGTAGCGTTATGAAAGGAAGTCGTCCACCGATTACATCTGTACGACACGCAATGGATATATACGATACCAACACAGAAGTTGGTGCTAAGAACGTAAATAGGAACGTTCGACGTTATCTTCATTCGGCGGTTACTATTAAAACTGTTTGCGCCATACACGATTTTGCATGCCGTTATAAAGAAATATACATCGAGTACACGTGTTGGATACAATTCGACCACCATTGGAAAGACATATTCTTTTCCAATTACCACTTTGAATGTGAAGCCACCACCATAGACAGATTGGTTTCTCGACCCGTGTATCAAACACTGGACGAGCTGAATCTTTTCTGGATTGTGTACGACTGGGCGAGTAGAAAAGCCGGCACCACACTACCCTTGAGGTCTGTTATGAAGCCGTACCTTCAGAAAATTCGATTCCTGGCAATGGATCCAGAAAATATAGAAGAAAATCTTTTCCACAAAATCAGATATACTGTACTTTCGGAAGAGGACATTCGAGGTATCAAGCATTATCATTCGACCGGAGACGTATCGAGAGTTCCTTGTGATATTTGCAGCTATACTTTCGGAAGGAGTGAGAAATTTTATCGAAGATGGTTCACGTATTTAAGTAGAAGAAAATTCGGAAACGAAAGAGAGATTCCCGTGAACGAAAATACGAAGTTTGCTTCGGAGATATTCGTGCTCGAGGATTGCTTCGTCACTGCTATTAGTCTTCCTATTACGTTCTGCAAAACGAAAAGTTTGCTCGTTCATCTTGATGTTTCGGTTGAAGGAAACGAATCGATAATTTCGTATCAAAAACTATTTTGTCGTCGTCGTGAGGGATTTACGAAATTGCGTAAAAATATATTTTTGAAAAAATATTCAATATGTCGAATGAATGTTAAAATGGCAACCCGCATCATCCCAGACAAGAATGTGATGATCAATATCGACTCGGATTGTTTCGTCACCTCCGGGCAACTAATTCGGAAGATTTCTACACGAAAAAGGAAAATAACCGAAGCTAACAATAACAGTTATTATTTCGATGTCCAACTGTATTTTTGAATTGAGGGACATTTCATATAATAATAATAATAATAAAATTCCCGGATATCCGGCTTAAATTAAACACTTACGTTCTTCTTTAGTTCTCATTCGAGTTATTAAATTAGGAAAAACTTGCCCTTTCGTGATCCCTCTCCCCGAACTTCACCAATTATCAGTGATGAAAGATCCCCTCTCCTGATGATGATATTAGAAAAGCATTTAATTTATTTGTATCCGGGACGCAACACACCAGCGATTTGTGGAAGGGTGATACCTTCTTCAACGACTTTTATGGGAAACTGGTCCCTGTTTAGGTAATAGCAATATAAAGAAAATTCGGAAAATTCCACGTTGCTAGCCCGTTGATCAGACCCGAACCTATGACCAACTATCGGTTCTCGGTAGGATTATCCACACGGCTATCGGTGGGCAGGAAAATATTATTTTCGGACAATTTTGTGATGATTGTGGAGAAAAGTAAATGAGTGCAATATTATGTCATGGCAAACTCGCCTTCTTTCTTCCATTGTTAGCAATCGTCATACGCCAAAGAACCCTCCCTATATAAACTAATGATGATCTTTAACAATAAATGCTGCCATTATTGGCTGCGAAAACTTCAGTATGCAAAGAAACCGGTCGATTTCATATTTTTATGTTCTGAGCATTGTATTTCCCTGAAAGTTCCTTAATTTCAGGTCAACATTATCTTGTCTAAACCAAGTGCTATGTACAGTGCTTTAAACCTACCGGTGATCAGTGGTAAAATCCATTAACCAATAGCTGGTTGCATGGAGTTTCTCGGAGTTTCTTCACGGGTCTAACATCTAAAGAAAGCAATCTTCCATAATAAGTCCTCCCCTCTTAACAGATTGCCCATGTATTAACATGTATATTGTATTTTTATTACAGAAATTACTAAAACTAAAAGAAACACTAAACGCTATAAGTATCAATGGCACAATCATATCAGTTTTTCCCAGTTCTGAATTAGTACTCGATGAAGGTTTATATTATTGGGGCATCTTTCCCTTGTGAATGCGAAGATGGCTTACTAGATTGGAATTTTTTGCAAAGTGTTGTTGGCACTGTTCACACATAAAAGGCTTTTCGCCGAAATGAATCTTCAGAAAGTTTTGTAAATGGGAGGATGTGGTCGATTCTGAAGATCCGACCACATTTACGGATCTTCAGAAAGTTCCGTAAATGTGGTCACGAATCGTCGACCTCATAAATCTCAACAGAAGGGCCGAACTCCGGTATGAACCCTTCGATGAATTTTCAATGTATTGTTTCTTGAGAATTCTTTATGGCAAAATATCAAACTCTTATTCTGTGATTTTTCTCTGTTCGAACCTCTTTAGCGCCGTATCAGTTCTGTTTTCTTTAATTTTACGATGGAAAGCAAATCTATTTAATATATTCATTTGATAAAGTGATTAAATCACGCAATTTAAAACTTTTTACAGTTGATTTACAAAATAAAATCCGTTTCATAATGAATTTTGCATATTTTAATTTTCAAAATGTTTACTGTAGATTCATTAACTTCAAAGACGTTCCCAATAGATTCATAGAGAGAAGAACGTTATTTATCTTCACTTTGTGGTGCATTTGTGCCAATAAACAAACAGACGTACTTGTCGTGGCAATTATTTTCATACCAAATTTTTCACAAACAATAACGACAGAGTTTATTGTTAAGGGACGTCAGTATTTTATTGGGGAGATGAGATTCTTAGGTATATGACGATTGCTAAGGATGGGAGAGAGAAGAAAGTGTTTGACGTAACATTGCACCCGTCGTTTATTTTTCTCATCAGTTATAAAAAATTATCCGAAAATACTTCCTGTGTATTTGCGAATGGTTTAAATTTTTGGTCTAACGACATATTTAAGAGAAGCGTACCTTCGATTCGAATGACAGTGATGATGAGAGAGGGATCACGAAAGGGCAAATTTTTCCTGATTTAATAACTCGAATGAGAACTAAAGAAGAAAGTACAGTCGACCCCCCTATAACACGGTAGATACGTTCTTGTTTTTATGAATCAGATTCTAGGAGTCCAGCCAACCACAGCCCGGCACGTGTGCAGTTTACGGATTACGGCTGTTTGAAAGGTTTCTTCCATAAAATTAATCGATTCTAGATTAATTCGACTCAACATTTCCAAAATACGTATAATTTTTTTGGGAATAATCTATATAAACTATACTATAAACAAAAAATTGTAGGATTACTTACGGAGTGTGCACCGTTCGACTACGCCATTGCTTAAGCTTGTTTTCGTCGTGGAGATTGTCATCGAATGGCGCTCGCGTGCTTCCTGATAAGTTATTTTTTTGCGAAAAATTCGCTGAACTTTAGAGACATCATTAATATAAATATAATTTTTATGGACGTTAAATAATAAATGGTTTTTGGTAGGTCCGCTGCTCGTTTAAACTCAACGGTTTGTGCAATTCTGTCGCGACACGAGTCGGCGATGACGTTTTACCGAATTATAGGAGTTTTTTTTAGCATGTTTGTACGAATACTGTCGCAATTTTTCGTCGTGATATAGGAATCCGAACTATAGAAACCAGTGTTATAGGGGGGGGTCGACTGTAAGTGTTTAATTTAGCCGGATAGCCAGGAATTTTATTATTATTATGAAATGTTCCTCAATTCAAAAATACAGTTAGACATCGAAATAAAAACTGTTATCGTTAGCTTCGGTTATTTTCCTTTTTCTTGTACAAATCTTCCGAATCAGCTGCTCGGGGTGACGAAACAATCCTGGAGCACGAATATCTCCGAAGCAAACTTCGTATTTTCGTTCACGGGAATCTCTCTTTCGTTTCCGAATTTTCTTCTACTTAAATACGTGAACCATCTTCGATAAAATTTCTCACTCCTTCCGAAAGTATAGCTGCAAATATCACAAGGAACTCTCGATACGTCTCCGGTCGAATGATAATGCTTGATACCTCGAATGTCCTCTTCCGAAAGTACAGTATATCTGATTTTGTGGAAAAGATTTTCTTCTATATTTTCTGGATCCATTGCCAGGAATCGAATTTTCTGAAGGTACGGCTTCATAACAGACCTCAAGGGTAGTGTGGTGCCGGCTTTTCTACTCGCCCAGTCGTACACAATCCAGAAAAGATTCAGCTCGTCCAGTGTTTGATACACGGGTCGAGAAACCAATCTGTCTATGGTGGTGGCTTCACATTCAAAGTGGTAATTGGAAAAGAATATGTCTTTCCAATGGTGGTCGAATTGTATCCAACACGTGTACTCGATGTATATTTCTTTATAACGGCATGCAAAATCGTGTATGGCGCAAACAGTTTTAATAGTAACCGCCGAATGAAGATAACGTCGAACGTTCCTATTTACGTTCTTAGCACCAACTTTTGTGTTGGCATCGTATATATCCATTGCGTGTCGTACAGATGTAATCGGTGGACGACTTCCTTTCATAACGCTACGAAAAAAGTGATTACGATAATAAAGTAAATGAATTAATTTAAGAGGTAGGAAAGCATTTAAAATTATTTTCGACAGAATATTGATCAATAGAACCGTACAAAAGAAACTCACTTTACGATGTATGACATTACATTATAGTGAAACGAAAAATGAAACGTAATAGATTGATATTTTGGAGATAAAAGAATCATGTCCTTCATTATTCCACTGTTGTCGCATAATTCCGAATGTGAAATAGTAATTCTCTGTTTATCCTTGCATTGTATCGTCAAATAATCCATGATCTTAATTGGACACGACGTTACGGTGAAAACAATCAAATAATTGATATTGTTATAAAAATCGTTAAGCGGATATTATTTATTTCATTGTTAAGTAACAAAACATTTTAAACTGGAATTTGATTCCTGATTCCGGAAATTATTTCTCGAATTAAATAGCATAAAATACCTGAAAATATTTTTCTCCGTATAATTGTTTTTGTCGATAATTAAAAAATAAATTGAGACCAACGTGTCATGCCGTCTGCTTTAGGCATAAACGGATAGCAAACGACGACGTTTCATTCGAACTGGTTTTTCGTATTATTACATTTTCCACTAATTTTATTGTTTTTAGTTTAGACAATATTCTACAAGGATCCCTAATGATCCTATAACAGAGTGACTAGCACTCACAGCTCCTTTGATCTGATAGGAGAAATGAAATTTCGAGTGTTAGCTTCTACTGTACATTTGTCAAGTTAAATAAGGTGTTGCACAAAAGGCTGGCATAGCAACAAGAAGACATTTTTCCGAATTTCGTTCAAGTATAGTACACATGCTAGAAGCGTAATCCGAAAATGAGAAAATAATAAAAATTTAAACCTACAAAATCCATGCAATTTCGCCATTTATAGGTTCGTATTTGAATAGTATTAAACCTCATAAATTTATAATGCACCAATATTGGCATGCTAAAAGTACAGCGGCTTTAATACAGTCGGATAAGCAAACCAATGGCAAAACCTGTCTCAAACGAAACGAGCTTTCATTGCCTTACTTATTCGAAGATAAAACATTTTATTACATTGAACTATTTTATTTATGCAGCGCAGACAAAGCAAAAAACTTAGCAACGAGTTGCGTGACTTTCCCCGGCTGTTATGAGAACTTATTTAAAAAATAACTTTTATATTATTAGTTATTTTATTTAAAAAAAAAAAACAATAAGAAAGGTCTAGTTTTGAGGGTAGAGAAGAGTTTTTAAATTATTGTGAATGCCACTAACGATTAAAAATTTAATTAAGACTGACCCCATTCGAGATATTACAGGTGACATCCCTTTGAACCCTAACCCCAAAATTTAAGTCTTTTGTCTCTTATTTACAAGTAAGTTACCGTGCCAAATTTCGTCTCTTAATCTTTACTCTTTTTAGGAGAGGAACCGTCTTTTTTTCATATATAGTACTGTATTTCCTTTGGAATTAACACAAGGTTGTGCTGATGAGAACAAATACAACTGTATATAATGCATTCACGTGTTTCTTCCGGAAAGAAAGAGGAAGTGAAGTCAAAATCACGTGATAGCTGCAGCCAATTACCGTGACTATTCATTTCTAATTTTAGGTGCATATGGAAGATAAAATCCGAGAAAATAATTATCTTCCACAAACGTCTGTTTTTTTTTTGTACGAGGATGTTCCTGGTTAGCCGGATGTCGAGTGAATGTTGCAACTTTAGCATTTATATTATGTTATTAATCTCTTATTTAATTACTTAAGTTGTATTAATATTATTATTTCTTTTATATATTAAATTGTATTTTGGTTATATTGATATATTCGGAATTCCACATCCATAAATGAAGTGAATACTATAATTAATACGGTATTCAGTTAGAATTCGTAAATTGTATTTAGAATACATTCCCAACGAGCGATTATTTATTTTGATATCGTCACAATGGAGGGCTGCAATTTTTAATCATATATTTAATTTAAAATATATGCTCTCCAATGCTAATTAGCAGTGGCTTGCCCCTGTATATCATACTTTTCCTTTAACAATAGAGTCGTGCCAGTTATCTATCTAACGCCTTTCGGGGGAAGTTTTCAATCGAAATAACGTGACTTCCATTTGCTTCTTATGCTCTTGTACAGTTAATCGGGGCCTCCTACTCCTAAGGTGTTCACAATCTACTCTCGTCTTTCATCTATCTAACTCCGTTCTCGAAATTAAGGAAAGACGGACGGACAACAGTGAAATTTATTGGAAAATTTATTGAAAATTAACAACAACTACCCATTTCGCCTTAAAATTCAACACAAATTACAGCAAGCAAGTCCGTGGAAACAGACTGTAGTACATTGATTCGGACTAAAAATGGTGCGTAAGTCAGCTCGGATCTCCATCTTTACGTTACAAACGTAATGCTTTTTTTTTATGGGTAAACCCTTTCCCAAAAATTATCGGAAACGGAAGCAGATTCAAACCAGTTTTTTTGGTTGGAATTTCATTTAATTTTCTTTGTAATGTACAGTTCGGAATTTTGAAAATGCAATTCGTTAATTTTCTATGAATTTTTGAAAATTTCTTAATTTTCAAAATTCCGAAGCATACGATTAATAGAAACAGTTAAATACAACTTTAAAGCAAAAAAACCCATTTGGATCTATCTGCTTCCGTTTCCGAGAATTTTTTCGAAAATGGTTTCCCAGTACAAAAAGCATCATATCTTTAACTCCATCTGCTGGAGATCACGTGAATTACCTCAGAAGGCTACAATCAGTCTTAAAAAGCTTGGGGTATTTTCATTAATTATTTTATATTTTAATTTCTTTAAAAGAAAAAAAAAGTAATTTACCTATAATTAAATTACTTTCCTCGTAAGTTACATCCTGTTGACTTTCTTAAGTAAGAGATTTCATTTGAAAAGATTGCATTTCCGCCTTTCAATAGCGATTGCATAAAGAAGAAAGTTACTAATGGCATTTGATTTTCTGGATAAGGTTTGTTTTATAAGGCAATTTATTATCTGATCCAACACTTCGAGAGTTATTCCAGAGCCAGCAGCATTATGAAGACATTTGTAATATTTTCATTTTTGGCTGTATTTGTAGGAGTTCGAGCATTTACCGGTTATGAACTTATAGAAATTGCTTGCTGTATGATCATTTTTATTATTATTATTATTGTTAATTTAATCTAAAGTAAACTATTTTAAAAAATTTATTTCTGTATCCTGTAGCTGTTCCGGAAAAATACATGCTCAGATTAATCGAGTGCACTATTAATCGTAGCTCACAATTCTTCCAAAAAGTAAGTACGAATCTATACATTTTTCAAAGAATTTTAGGTGATATTGGTGAAAGGTTTTTCTAATTATTTCTCCTGTTATTTTAGGGGGTCGATGTGCTCCACGAATGCGTAAAAAAATTGCACGAATCTAAAAGCAAATGGGAATCCGTCTTAATGTATACTTGCATGAATGGCATACATGGAAGCCACGACGTAAGACATTTTAATTACGCTCTATTAGCTTTTTTCAAATAGTTTTTAATACTTTACAATTTGTGCTGTAAACGTTCGCGGATAAGTTCAACAATAGAACTTTTATTTTACATTAAAATGTAATTTCTAACATCTTTCAATATTTTTTAGCTGTGGGCTTGTACGGAGGAAAAACTGAAAGTAAGAAAGATTCTTTAATGGAAATTATTCTTTTTCATATTTTATTTGTATTTTAAAATTATTTTTTATTTCAAATCAGGAACTGGGACCTCTTCCACCTCCGCAGAAGGACATGGACGATTTAATTGAACATAGTAAATATTGCATGATTCACGCTTAAACAGCCTAATGGATCCCATATTCGACATTACGCAAACACCATAATCTGATGTCATTGTTAATCACAAGTATACGTAACACAATAAACTGATAATTTAGCATTAAAGTATGTGTTCTCGTTATTATGTTTTACAACTTAATTAATTAGCATTAATCGGGGTATTCAAATTTGAATTGGTAATGCTTCAGATGTCTTGCATTTTACATCCTAACGACTTGAAGACTGTAGCTAAAGCAAGCGCGTGATATATGCATATTTTCAGCTATTATATATATATAGAAAAACTATCAAGATTATTCAAATTGCACAATTTTAGGCACCTCGAAAGTATAAAGGACTCATTATGTGGTTTTTCATGATTTTATGTTACATCCATCTTGCTGCTCAGACGGGAAAAGTAAGGTTTTTAACCTAAAAATCCGAATCCTACTTAGCTTTGTATTGGTCCATTATATCCAGGCACGTATCACTTGACGTCATCGTTAAATCTATCCATATCGAGATGTTATACACAGAATATTAAATTTCAATGCATGTGATTGTGAGGATCCAACAACTTTATTTTTAATGATTTTAATTAATAATAATTTAAGCAAGCCCGAGATTGCAAACTTAAACAGGGAAGTTAGTAAGATTTTATCTCATATTTTCGTTTCATTTTTAATTGTGACGCATTTAAATCTTGATCATTTCCTGTGACACATTTAATCCTGAGATCGTCGCTCGTCCAGGGAAGTGTTTTTTAAATCGTTAGATTGGACTGTTGTTAAGCCTGCCGCAATCGCCGATCGATTCAACGACCGATGTCACTATACGTCATACCCTTCGACGACGGAAGTAAAACTCACAATGATTCTACTACGATGCTTACCACTAGCAAAGAAATACTTTTGTTATTAGAATTACTTTGTTAAAAGCAAACAGAAATACAGTGTTCCTCCTCTCTGGAAGCAGCGAAAGGATAAAGAACTTTAATATAATAATTTAATTTATATGATTTTATGTATATTTATAGTTTAAAAAAACAAAGAACTTTTTATATATATACAGTAGATGAAAGATATGAGGAGCCATGCCAAGGCGCATGCATAGTATTCAGCGAGAAGAGGCGAGACGCGATAAAAATAAAACCCTCTCAGATATTTGCGAGAGCCAGAAATTCGCTCTCGCCAGCGAGATTTCTTGCCTCTCGCCTTTTTTTTTTTTTTTTATTCTGACCCGTCTGGATTTGACCTCATCCCCAGATTAGTAGGCCGCCACCTTAACCTCTCGGCCATCCGTTCGTTTCTTCGATTGAGGAATATAGAAATGTATTATTATATCGCTTCTGTTACGAATTAATAAAACATATTTAATCCGAAAACATTATTTACAGTTCACTAAAATTACACACAATTTCTTCGCATATTTTTAAGTGTTGCCAGATTAAATTTTGTCAAAAACTAATTTAAGTGCTGCCAGTTGCCAATTTAATGTCTGGCAACACTTCGACACGGATTGCAGAAGATAACGTTGTTTTCTGATATTTTGAATTGCGAACTTAGATAGAGAGGAGATAATTTCGGAGGGAAGAACATTCGTTTGTTTACATTTTTACTTTTAAATGGCTCTGAGACGAGTCAGTCAATATTTTAGTCCCATCGAATGCTTTAGAAGATGTTTGGTTCCCACTTCGCATTATCATTCCAACGTAAGTTTGAATTTTAAAAAGTAATTTTATGTCGTTAAATTAGGGATTCGAGTAAATGAGATATTGTTTATATTGAGAGTTGGTTCGATGGAATACGGCACGCAACACGGGCTATCTGTAAAGGGGGTGCTGGTTTTATTTAGGCGTGTGAAGTTTCCCGGGAATAAAACCCGGGAAACTTCACGTGCGAACCCACGATCACCTAGCAGTATTTAGTAGATTTACTCACAAGATACCAGAGGATAAAACTACTGTACATTGGTGGGGCAATATATTGAGAAATAATAGGACACTGGTAGGTTTATATTGAGGATGACTAGGATACTATTGAAGGGTGACCAGATATTTTATCGGCAAATCCGGGGACACGTGTCAATCGTCACTGTTTATGGTACACAGTAGTGACCTACTTGTATAATTACTGTCCAATGGGTACTGTACCGTACTTTGGTACGACCGAGATCTAAGCATTTTAATTTTGATCGAACTCGTTTGCTTTAAATAGCTCTCCTTCAATAAGGTTTATAGCTATTTACTTTTAGCACATTTTAGTTATATTTTGAGATGCAATTTGAAAAAGTTGTTAAGACCTATAAATTCTCACTGTCGTCTGGCCTCTGTCCTTTTTTAATCTATAAAATGGAGTTAGATAGATGAAAGTTGAGATCAGATATGGAAGGCGTAGTGGGGGAGGACCCGACGAACTATATATGAACTTCCACTTTGGACCAGAAGTCACATTATTTTGATTTAAAATTTTCCCTCGAAAACGAGTTAGATGAACTGCACGACTCTATTGCTAATGGGAAAAGTGTAATGTGCAGGGGCAAGACACTACTTAAAAAATTGTGATGAAGTCACTATAAATAATTGCTCATTCTCATTTTAAAGTATGGCTCCTTTTTGGCATATCCTCAAAAAGTGGTCACTTCGTTAAAAAAAAAATTACCTAGAAATACTGAAGACATTGGACACGTCCTCTGGATGAAAAACTTTGGCAATGACAATATTACAATATCCACACAAGGAAACGAAAAAACAGGGATAAAACTGAGAATGCTTCCTTGCTGGGGACAGAGGGTCAAAAACAGGGAACGGCCCTGGAAATCAGGGGATGGATTGTCAACCTAACTAATGGGCTTATGTTGAGGAAGACTAGGATACCAATGGACTCTAGTGCACTCAGGATTTAATCTTGAGGGAACAGAGTTAAATGGATAAAAAAAACTTTTAATGCAAATTCAATAAAATTTCCATCTTATGTGACTACTAAAATCATAAGTTGTATAGAAATAGAAACTCAACACAATATAAATAAAAGAAATATTAATTAGGAAGATATTTTCAAAACCTTTTTAATGTTTCTTTCCTTTTCCCTCGGTTCCCTTAGAGTTCACCACTGGATAGGCTTATATTGAGGAACAGCGGGATACTATTGGGCTTATATAGAGGAACAGAAAAGATTGAAATTTAATTAGATCTTATAACTATAACTATAATGTTATAAAATAGATTTATTATTGCATGAATGAATTTTTGTAAACAAATTGTCTGAAACTACTAATAATTAATGGATGTATAAATTTTAGAAATATTGTCCATGCATGTCAGTTAATAATGTTATAATGAAAATATTTAGTACATGTACAGCAGGGGTGTCCAACCTTTCTGTTTCTCTGGGCCACATTGGAAGAAGTCATGGAGTTTTGGGCCACAAGTATATTTTGACCCGATCCTTAAATATACAAGTATATTTAAGTATTAACATGTCTAGATTATAGTAATAAGTATTAAAAGTTTACCACAAAAAAGAATATTTTTAAAAATTGCTTTTACAGACACTTTCAATTTTTATTTAGAAATAAATAAATTCATTTATTATAAAGGAGACAAACAAAAATTTATTTGAAAAACACAAATATTTGTTTTATTTGGGTCTCTAATTAATAAAAAGCGACAAGACAACATTTTAAAGTGCATTTTTATTCAACTAATATATTTATAAATAATATGTAGCCCAAAAAGTAGCCAATGTGCCAACTGATATTTTTTACATCAAACTAATAAAAGGGTAGCCAAATTTGGCGCAAAGTAGCCGAATCTTGCAACGCTGGAAGGAATACTATAAAAAGCTGGAGTTGAGACTCAAAGAATTATAGACTCAATGCGGGGAAAGGAGAAAGAGGACAAAAGATAAAGAAGTGAGAAAGGTTGGAAAATTAAGGGTCCATATTGCATAACAGGAGGTCTATTTAACTTTTCTCATTACTTTTTATCTTTAGGTCTTTTTCTCCTTTCCCCTGAATTTGAGTCTATACTCCTTTGAGAGCCAACTCCAGCTTTATTTAGTATACCTTCCTCATCACACATTTCTAAGTATTTGAAAATATTTCTTTTCCACTAAAAATTAAAATATGTATAAAGGTTTACGGCTTTGTGAAACTTCTTTTTTGAGTTGATGCAGTTGAAATAAATAAATAAATAAATAATTTTAAAAATTTTCGGTTTTGTGTACACGTTTATTGGGCTGCATTCAAACTTCCTTTGGGCCGCATGCGGCCCGCGGGCCGCGGGTTGGACACCCCTGATGTACAGTATGGGCCTCTATACTTGCTAATTAGATGTTATCTGTATTCTTCTTCTCATCTCACAATTTTAATTTTTTCTGCACATTATTATTGTTGCTGGCAATTGGAAATCATTAAAGCAGTCTCCAAAGTTGTCATTAGATCTTCAATTCCTGTAAGATGGAGTTTTATATTTTACAATGACCTGAAATGAACTATCATGGGTCGTTAAATCTGAAAGGAGAGTATACTGTCTTAAATCCACATCCAGTCGATTATCTACTAAATTTATTATTGAGTTATTTAATTGAATAACTAGAACACAGTTTTATGCACCTGAACATTGTGACCACTGTAATTGGTGATGCAAAGTGATGAGAATATTTCTTTTTATGTTCATTTTTGAGTTTTTTTGTCCTGTGGTCACTAAGAAGACTTTATTAGCAAGATTTTTATGGGTTTGGCTACACCATAATCTGCAGTTGGGTGGTGAAGGACAGGGCTTGATGTATCTGGATGGACCATCCCAAAAAAATCCTAGGGTGTTTTACCTGAGTTTTAACTCTATAATCCTTTATTATCAGGTGTAGTATTTCAAACACCCAAAAAAAATATCCATTTGTTTAACGATGTACAATTTATTAAACAATTTTCTTTTACCTGTCTGGATTTAATTCAGAGTCCACCTTAACTACTCGGTGTGATCTAGTCATTGCCTTAGACATCAGTGATGAGAATATTAACAATGTATTGTAACAAAATTATTTTATAAGTTACATAAAATAAAAATGTATCCTCCTTACATCTTGATATTATTTTTACATTGGTTATAATCTATGGGTGATTTTTGTGCATATATTAAAAA